GTGCGGGGCGGGAGACGGAGGGGACCCCACCGAGCCGCTGCCCGGGATGGGGCCGTTGGGCGGGAGGACGAGCCCCGGGGCTCTGCGCCCTCCTCCCGCCGCCGCGGGGAGACGGCCTGCGCCATGTGCGGGTTACTGCATGGCCTGGCCCTGCTCCTCCCCGGCCTGGCCCTCCCCGCGCTGCGCCAGGCACCCAGAACATGTGCCCGCCTGAAGAGCCGAGGGGAGCTGGGCACCGCTGCGCGTTTCCACCTCGTAATTTGGGGTCTTCTTGGTTCTTTTTTGGTGGCAGGTTACAGATGCACCGTCCTTGGAAGGTCGCCTCTCAGCGCAGGAACCAGAGTCACCCAAGGCAGAAAGTGACAATGTCTTTCTCGTCAGGGCGCAAGGATTCCCCTTCTCGTGCACCGAGGAAGACGTGCTTACCTTTTTTGATAGTATGGGAGTTAATTTTCTTGCGTAACTGCTCAGTGTGGTGTTACTGAACCCAATCAGTTCATTAGTTCAGATCATTAGTTAACAGAAAGAAAACAGAAAAATTGTTAGCCAGAGAAAGATGAGTTTTTCATATTGGTGCCAAATTATTCACGATTTACACATGTAAAACAAATAATCAACTTCCAAACTGTTGGACAATGACTGGAAACTCATCCTTGCAGCATTTTATATTTAATTGAGGAAGTGTTTCCCTTTTTAGTCCATGTCTCCACAGTAAAGGCAATCCAATTGAAGTGATTCCTTTAAAGACCATTATGGTTGGCTTTTTCCCAAACTCGTTTTTTAAACAGACTCGAGTGGGTTTTGCTTACTAGTTTAAACTTCGCTCTCTGATCCTGATTAATAGGCTTGTACGTACCTTTGCAGGGCTGATCCCTTCATACTGTAATATTTTGATGCATCCTTCCAGAGTAGACTAGACAGTCAGAGCCAAGTTTTTTAATGGTTTAATAATCTGCAGAAATAAATTGAAGTCAATTGGAAGTCCTGGGGGAGAGGAACATAGAGCAGGCAGAGTATAGCTATAGAGACTGAACATTCACTATCATTTGTTTTTGATGTCAGGTAACTCAAAAATAATTAACTTTATCAACAGTATGACAATATAATCCAGTTATACAGCTGTGGAAGCAAATGGATGTCAGATCGGATTCTTTGTGTGTTAGAGTTAAGGTTAGAAACAGGAGTTTCCTACCTTTTGTTTCAAGACAGTACTTTGCTTCACTGAGGGCAATAGCTCGATGCAGAATATGCAGTTGTGATCTGCAATTAAAAGACCCCCACGTTTGATGCAGTTGCGTATGTTTCTGTATCGTATGTTCCTTGATTTCTAGGCTGTAGAATTCGAAACGGTGAGAACGGCATACACTTCCTCTTAAACAGGGATGGGAGACGCAGAGGGGATGCCTTGATCGAGCTGGAGTCGAAAGCGGATGTCCAGAGGGCCTTGGAAAAGCACCTGAGGTATATGGGCCCACGCTATGTGAAAGGTGGGTTTGAAATGACAAGTTACATTGGAAGAAAGCTTGATAAAGTGAAGAACTAAGCCAAAACTTCCTAGGCTGGACAGCAAGAGCAAAGCGGTTTGTGCGGTGAGGGGCACCAATGCAGGACCATTGAGTATGACAGGGGGGAAGAAACATTATTCTGGCAGGGGGAAGAAGCTTCCTTAGAAGAATTCCTGTAGAGAACCTCCTTCCAAGTACCATGAGGGAAAACATGTTTTGTGCCTGTGTCTCTTGCAGTTTTTGAAGTACACGATAGCGATGTAGAGAGCTTACTACAAAGTCTGCGGGATGAGTCACAAGCCATAAATGATGGAGTTGTACTACTCAGAGGCCTTCCATTCATCTCCACTGAGGAGGATATTGCAGATTTTTTCCCAGGTAATTCAGCCTAGTCTGTGCTCTTCGGTTACGAGGCATTTACTTCTCCAAGTTGATGCTTAGGTAGCTGTTGTTTCTCTGAGAAAAGGAAAAGCAGATGCAGCCTTGAACACCTTAAACAGTATAAGGAGTTGCTGTCCCTTTGCAGCTTGATGTAACCAAAGTTCTCTGAACAAGCTTTTAGCTGGAAGAAAAGAGAGGAGACTACATCCAGTTCCCTGCAGTCGGCATTGCTACCAGTGCATAATTTGGCAAAGTTAAGAGAGGCAAAAAAGCCTGTATGATAGTTACAGTACAGGTGAATGCAGCATGGATGTTCACAGCTGTATAATTGTGATGTCGTTTATGCCACTTAAAACTGTTAACAGCAATTTATTGTTTTTTTTAATTACTGGCTTTCTCATGGTTGTGAAAGTTCACTGCACCAGTTCTCAGCTCAGCAAGTACTGCACAGTGCCTGCACACATGCTCATGTCCCACACTTAGCACTTGAGCGATGCAGGTGGTTGCTGCCTGCCTTCACTAGGAAAGAAGCCTTTCTAGGCTTTGCAAAATAAATTGACATTTCCTTAGGTAAAGCTTAAGTAGTAGGCTAAACCAAACCCACTTCTTCCACTCCAGACATGCATGCAGAGTCCTAAGGCTTATTGTATCCACAGTCATACCGAAAGCAGAGGCCGCTGGTAGTAAATTTTTCGATTGATAACCAGTAGTTCAAGATGTTTGAAGGCATCTAGTAGCAGAGTTATCACAATGAGATGACCAGGGAAGCATTGTGGAGCAAGTGTTCCCATTTCTTTAGAGCTTGAGGAAACCCTTTGAGAAAGAAACAGCATGCAAAGAGGTATGCAAAAGCACTCTTGAAAAAAAAACTAACAACTGTAGCCCAGCCTAGTGTGCCCTCTGTATCATGTCAGATATAGTTGTTTACTTGATGACAGGCTCCCCAAGCAGCTATTACACAGCACAAAAATTGAAGTTCAGTGAATTTGACCTGGGTTTTAAAGAGATGGGGCAAAATTGCCATAATAATAAGAGAAAATTTCAAGAACATTTGTGCTCTGGACCTCCTTGTTGACTAGAACTTGGATTCACATGTTATTTTCTTAGTTACTTGAAGCCTGGAGTTGATTTCATTATTGGCATTAAGCTTTCTGTGAAAACTAACTTAAAGCAAGTAAGTTGGAGTTTAAAAAAGTTTTTAAAAAGGCATGTAGGCCAGCATGAACAGTTGTTTCAGAACTATTTAGCTGTCTGATTAGCTTGTCAAAAACCAAGAGAGTAAGGAAAAAGATGTCTCTGAGTTGTAGCACAAATTGTTGACAATGTATGTGACTTTTTCTGCCCACTGCTCTATAGGTTTGAAAATAACTGACATAGCTTTTGTTTACCGGGGAGGAAGAAAAACGGGAGAAGCTTTTGTGCAGTTTGCAGCTCCTGAAATGGCAGCTAAAGCCCTGTTACGACACAGGGAATACATGGGAAGTAGGTAGGTACTTCACTGGGATTCATGAGGGTAGAAGAACACAGTATGAAACATTCTGTGTGTCTTATGGCTTGCTTCTTACCGGGTGAAACAGCTATCTTAGGTTGTCCCATACTTACATTATTAGTAAGGAACCCTCTGCCCTTATTACCTTTAAAACCTAGAACTCAGATTTTTAGATTCAAATTTCAGTAGAAGTCATACCTAAATCTTTCTCACAGTGTTGTCAGACTGTTACTTTGTGGCTTAAAATATTTATTTTTAATAGCACCCTCTGAAATACTCTGTGTAACCTAGTTACCTCCTCTGGTGATGTTTTCTTTAGGACCTTGACAAAATTGGAGAAAGATGAAGCCTTTTGCAGGCTTCTTTGTGCTGCAGAAGCACCTTCAGAGCTTGTAGGCTGGGGGAATTTGGGGTCTCAGAGAAATGAGTTCTGTTTATTCCTGAAGGCAGTTTTGTCCCAACAAAAAAAGGGGTGATAGCATGAGGAGGAGGGAGGGCACACTAGATCAATGCTGCCTGCCTAGTCACAAGTGCACTGGGATCCTGCATCTGCTACAGACATTTGCCCCTGCCAAATTTACAGCAGGTTCCTTGGAGCTTTCTGCAATTTTAGCAACGCTCACCAATTCTCTTGAGGGCAGTACCAAGCACAGTCTGTCTCCACTGGGAGAGTACACTGTACAAAACACAGTTTACTACTCATCTCAGGCTTGAATCCATTCCTGAGAGTGACTGCTGGCCAGCACCAAACAGTCATCAACCTCTTTGGTGACCACACCCCACCTGTGCTGTCCCCCTTCCTCAGGAATCCACATTCAACCATTTTCTCCCAGAGCAACAAACTCTATGCCACACACTTAAAAGAGGCCTCTCTTTTTCTCAAGCAGAAGCATATACCCCTTTTTCCGAGAATCGTGAAATCATTTAGTTTGGAAAAGACCTTTAAGATCAAGTCCAACCATTAACCTTTACACTGTCAAGTCCACCACCAAGCCATGTCCCTAAGCACCACATGTACATGTCTTTTAAATACTTCCAGAACTGCCCTTGGGGGGAAAAAAACCCCAACAAAATTGCTTTTACCCTGTTGAGCTTTCTAATTTTGCTTTAATAAGCTGCTAAGTTCTCTTTCTGAACACCAGATAACAAAAGCTCTCTCCAGACCTTTACCACTTCTACATACCTACTTCTTTTCTTCTGTTCCCTTACTTTCTGTTCCCACTCTGCATTTCCTTGTGTTTGTGGCTCCCTGCCCTATACAGCTGCTCTCTAGGTGTGCCCAATAATTGAATTAACTAACACTTCCCTACCCTCAAGTAAAGATGAATTTTGTGTGCCCTTAATTTTTTCTTTGTCATAATCAAATGAGAGCTGATCTGATTCTCCCACCCAAGTTCATACACTTATGTTTCTCTGTGATTACCCAAGAAATAGAGTGGTTTCTAAAACTGCTGTCAGTTTGCTCTTGTTCCTTCTTCCTGGGCTATTGATTTTATCCAGAAATGGCCTTCAGCTGTGCACAGGACCGAGTATGGGTTTGGGGAGCTGAGCTGTAAGCTGTCAGCCTGTATGTGGGGTTAACTTCCCTTACTCTGGCCACTCTCCTCAGACAGGAGGAAAGCTGCCTCATGTGGCTGTCCATATGTGCCTTTTCATCACATTATTCCTTCAGTGCTATGGAAATGGCCTAATTTAACGCTGCTAGTTAAATTTCTGTGAGGCCCAGCTGGCACTAATCTGAAAGAGTAGCACAGGCAGCTCTGAGTTAAGGGGTTCTGGGGTGGGTAGCTAGAAACATAAGGCATTATCATTTTATGTTTTGAACCTGCAAGTAAGAGTTTGTTTTATTTTTCTTTCTGTGGTGTAAGGAGGATCTTGGTGGAGCCCCTTAATGCTGTATTACACCCACGACTTTCACAGGCAGCCACTCACATTTTATCCTATCAATTTCATAACAATATGTAAAATCTTAAGGCTCCACTGAAGTATTTAATGTGACCCTGTGCATTTTCTGTGGCTGCCTGTTTCAGTAATCTGTTTTGGGGTTGGGCGTTTACTTTTTTAATTTGAGGTTTGTAATAATTGGAAAGTGCAATTTGAAGAGGTGCAGGGAGAGGAAAACAGCCTCACATACAAGGCTGCTCAAAAGGATGTGTACTACTGAAAGAAATAGAAAATATTTTTCAGAGGAAGTAAACATGTATTTCTGCAACAAAACAGAGTTCTGGCTTGAGTGATTGGTATTACTTCTACAAGAACTTTGTATAAGGCTGTAAACCAAAAAGAGTTTGTCCAGACCACACTAGTAATCTGTCTCACAGTAGGTGGCTTTATACAGGATAGTGACTGTCACTGAAAGTGGAAGGGGCTTTCATAAACATAATTGTGCAATTTAAATGAATTAACTCTTCAGAACCGTTGCTTGCCATGCCCTGGCTCTCACACCCAGCACATGAGCAGAGCTAAGGCAGGAGAATGTTCTGAAGGTTCTTTTTCAACAACTTGAGTTCTTTGTGGAGGGGCAAGACATGACATGAAATTTTCTCCTTTGGCTTCTAGATATATAGAAGTGTACGTAAGTAGAAAGCATCAGATGCAAAGGCACATGCCTTATGCCAAGCAGAGTACGATCTACTCCAGAGTGAGAAAAGAATATGAATCAGTTTCTGAAGAAGGGGGATTGAGCGACATGGGAGACTCCGATGGTGAAAGAGAAACTAGTGAGTCCCTCCTTCCCTGTCATGTATGTTCTTTGAGGGCCCTTCGTTTTACCCTGATGGTTTACTGTGAACATGACCCCCTGTGTCTGCAGCTTTCATGTGAGAGAGGTGAGAACTGCAAGCATTAATGATGGGTTTTTTTCCTCCGTTCCACAGAATTGTGTAGGGAAGAGACAGAAAGCTCTGGGCACATTTTAGAATCTGGGAACTTCTCACCGCCGCTGCACTTTGTCCACATGAGGGGTTTTCCTACCCAGGCTACTGCTCAAGACATAATAAATGTGAGTGACAATAAAACTATGAATTGAATTTGGTTGTCATTACCAGTGCAAACCCTTGATTGTTACAGATGAAGTCGGTTCAGATTTTTAATCTATCCATGTCTTGGTTAGTCCTCAGTGCTGTGTGGCTTCAGGCTGAATGCGTTTGGAAGCCTGAGTTTGCTGAGGCTCCCCAGGGTAGCCATGGCCTCACAGGCACAGCAGTGATACGCTCGTCTCCATAAATAAGAATGGATTAAAGCTTGCTGAGCTGTCTTCATACCCCTCCCTTTCCCTCAAGTAGCCATTTATAATCTGAGCTAGATTTCAGAGTAGCTGACTGTACAAAAACGAGTTTCAGAATCGCTTTAATATTTAATATTCTGTTTACTTCATTTTACTAGTACATAGCATCACAAAGCGAGCGTACCTGAACTTAGCAACTTGGATGTGTACAGAGCACATGTGCTGTGCGAGGATTTTTGTTCTGTCAAGAATGACTGCCAGGAGCTTGCAGAGGGTGGGGGGCTGCACAGCATGGAGAGGTGGCTTGGGTATGCCCCAGCTTCACCCAGACAAGAAAGGCAGCCTTTTGCTACTCTCAGGCTCAGCCTCCCCTGCAGCTGGACAGGCTTTATGAGAAAAACATCAGGTTTCTTGGTAATAGGTTGTGTTACTATTGTTTCTTTCTCACCAACCTCTCATTTTCCTCCTTTTCAGTTTTTTGCTCCACTGAAGCCCACAAGGATCATGGTAGAATACAACTCACATGGAGATGCAACAGGAGAAGCAGACGTGCATTTCAAGAGCCATGAGGACGCAGTAGCTGCAATGGCCAAGGAGGGCTCACAGCTGCGTAAGTAAAGAGGAAGGGATCTTACAACTCCACGACTCAGACCCTCGGGGAGTTTGGCACAGCTTGTCAAGCTGCTGCTAACACCCCCTGCAGAAGGATCATCTTAAATGTAGATTTCCAAATTACCCTATTATGCGACATTGGCTTTGTGAGGGGGGAAAAAATAAGAAAATGACACACAAGTCACTGAACACAGCCTGCCTCTCTGAAATTGTTCCCCAGAGTGCAGTGCCGTTGAATTATTCCTGAATGAACATCCAGAGGCAAAAGAAAACTGCTAGTGACAGTGGCACGGTCTCAGGTTTGGTAAGTGCATACTCCTTTGCTGTTGTTCCTGTACTATATTTTAGCAGTGTGTGCCTCAGTCTTAACTATTTCTGATACTTTGGATTTCAGCTCCCTTAAAGGATCAAATTTATAGAGTGGCTGAAGGGGGTCATCACCGCTCATCTGAGGTCAGGCATTGAGCCTGGCCTCTCTGGCCTGCAGGTACAGATCCCCACAGGGGGAAAGTCCTGAGGCTACAGCTGGAGCTGGCAAAGGTTATTGTGCTGCCCAGGCATCTGCCCTGTTGCAGCTGAGGCCTAGACTGTGCTGGAGAGCTTTTTCTGTTTTCTTCCTCCTGTTAACTCTCCTAATGTGATAGATGAAAAGGATCTGATGTGGTTGTGTTCCCTGGCATGGAAGAGGAAATGGGGCTAAACATTTTCCCCAGATGTGTATTAACAGTAATTGGTCTTTTGGCTGGGACAGTATTACTTAGAATTACAGACAATAAACACAGTGTGCTGTGGCAGTTCTTGCTGCTGAAACAGCATCAGGCCACACTCCTCACTGAAAACAAAACACAGCCCTCCCTGAAAAAAAATTAAAACCATGCAAAATAAGGGTTTCCTAGGTCTACAGGAGTGAGGCAGAATATATCAGGGAAGAAGTTCCCTGGGACCTTAGTGGAAGGCCCCAGCCACCTTGTAGTGCTTCCACCAATGCCCTTCTGAAAATGGGGGGTGATGGTTGCTGCTCCCCCAGGTGCTGGCCCTCACAGCTGTGGCAGGGAGGGCCCGCCCTCCCCATCCCAGCAGCCCCCTTGCAGCTCTGGGTTCAAGACACACACCCAGCAGTGACTGACGTGCCTGCAACAGCCCCGACTTCCAGGTCCCTGTGCTGGGACCAACGGAATTAAACATACACACACACACACCCCCCCACATGTGTGCTGCAGCCCCAGCCGAAAAGATGTCCCCTCTTAGAGCTGTTTGCATCATCCTACCTTTTTTGGCGACATCTTTTAATACTCCCAAATGCTACTATTCTATTATTGGAGACAAAAATGCAGAATAAAATGCAGCAATGCATTTGAAACAACGACAGCAATAAGCTTGCGGTGAGGTAGTGAGTGATGTTTTTCCTCTTCCTTTTTTTTTAGGCCAAAGTGAACACATTCCGTGGATGTGAGTGTAAAGATCGAGTACGAGTGTCGCTGCTCAGTAACGAGGCTAAACTGTACAAAATCTAGTTGAGCATTGTGTAAAAGCATGTAATAAATTGTGTTGACATACTGTGGAAAGACGGTCTGTTGCAAAAGCAGCAGCAGCTGTACCAGAGGAATGGCAGTTGCTGCCGGATGGAGCGCTTCTAGTCTCCTGGTGTGAGGTGTACAAAGCATTAATAAACCATCAGTATTCACAATTAACAAACCCAGAGCGATGTGAGCAGGTGCTGTGTGGTACCGCCCGTACCTTCTCTCTCCCACCGCCCCTCTCTCCATCTGTATAAGGAGCTGTCATCCCTCACCTGTTTTGAAATACTTAACACATGTAGCCAGAGCAGAATGAGATGGAAAGACAGCTCAGGACACAGGATACAGAGGATCCAAGTTTTTATTATTGTGTGGAACAAAATTAACATGAAAAAAACAGCCGTCCACTCCCCCCACTCCAAAGGCCCAGGTGAGCGTTACAAGCAGTACCTGAGCAAAGGTGCCTTGAACACTGCATCACTGTGCAGCGCAGCACCAGGCGCTCGTGAGCAGAGGCGCCCTGGGCTCTGAGGCAGCGGGAAAGAGCCAAGTGCTGACACCACCAGCTGGCAGCCCGCGCAGTGTCGCGCTGACCTTTCTCAATTAACATTTTGGCTGCCAGAGCTGTGTTCGGAAAGGTTTCGGCCACCTCCCTGCTCCTTCACAGGGAGCCACGTGACTTCAGAGGACCTGCCCCAGAGCTGTCCTGCTTCTCTCAGCCTCCGCTTAAAGCAAGCTGAGCGGCAGCTGCTCCTGCCAGGACTGTCAAAAGCCAGGTACGGGTCACAACTAAGCTGTCGCAGCAGAGCTGCAAAATGCTGGACATACCAGCATGGAAATAATCTATGCTAAGGGCCAGGTTTCCAGTTTAATCCTTTAACGTGGGAATTACTGGGCTTTGCTTTCTCCTTGGGGGCTGAGTCCTGCTGGATTTGGATGCAGGAATTTGAAATTTCATTGGTGTGTACAGTAGGTACACCACACTACCAACGTTAAATTCAGTCTTCTCCATTGGTCTTCTGGTGTCTCACCACTTAAGAGCAGCGTGCCCACACTTGAGTTCTAGGCTTTTCAGATGTCAACACTGTTCACAACTACTAATCTACTTTAAGGGATAGCAGCAAGGAAATGGATCTGGTAACAGGGGGAATAAAGAGCAGAAAAACTACTTAGAGTTGCCCCTGCTGTGATAGTGCCCTGGCTCTGAGGGGCACTAAGAGGAGCTAGAGAACTTGGGTGGCTGAACATGCCAAGGCCTAGAGGGAACTAGGAGAGAGTTAATTCCTGGTACAAACTAGCACCAAGCACCTACGTAACCTCAGCTCTGACATGCTTTTTAATGTGCCTCCTGGCAGGCTAACAAATAGAAAATCCCCTTTGAGGAATTAAACCACTAACCCCTAATAAACATTGTACAAAACCCAAACACATTTTGTCACATGTAAATACATCAGTTTTTCTACGGACTACCGCACATTCTATGGTCTTTAGGACTGAAGTAGGCTTCCAGTATAAACCAGAACAAACATAACTGTGACATGCTATGTGCTTCAGGAGGAGGCCACCACCGCTTTTTGGAATAACAGAAAATTCAGTGAGGTAACCGCAACAAAGAATTATGTGGCATGAACTTTAAAGTGTGAAACCCTTTCAAACTGTGGTTCAAATCAGAATTTCTAGTAGGTGAAAAACATTCCGGTTTCATCTCACCTTCATTTTCATGTAACAAAAAGTGAAATGTGAGGTTTATTATGATGACTTTATGTGCACAAGGGGGAGAGGTGGGTTGAAGTGGCCGTAAACCTCCTGCATCATGGTGAGGGTTTGGTATCTGAATGCTTGAGGGTCCAGTTCCTCCAGTCACCACACCAAGGCAGGAAGTGCAGTTACACCCGTAGCTTTGGCCCCCGCCGTGTAGTCACGAAGCCACAGTGAGGGTCTTTGAGAGGAAGGTCAGAGATGCCGTAAGGCACTTGTGTGCCAGATCAGTGCAGGCCATCAGTTCATGCCTCAAAGCCACCTACAGCCCCCCACCCCAGCCCCTAAAATACAGAAGGAGAACTTTCACAGCTTGGTTTGAGTCTTCCGTACTGCTTTGCATAGCAAGCCTGTGGCCCAAGGGTTGAGCCAAAGAAACGAAGCCAGAAAAAGTATTTATTGGCATCTCACATGGCCTCCTCCCACCCGGCACTGATGCGGCACAGTCGAACCAGATTGTCAAAGGCAACCAGGAAAGGGGAAATGGTATTTCAAGTGCAGCCAGACATGAGGATTAAAAATGCTCCCGTTCTGCTGTCAGTGAGCCTGTGCTTCACACTTTCGTGCCACACACGTGGGGATGAGAACGCTCCCAACTTGCAGGCGCAGACACACAGTGCACACACACAGAGCTCTTTTGGGCAGAGGCACTCTACTATGCCCTGAGGCTGCTCGGGCACACCTCGGGTACTTCACGTGCCATTCCCAAAGCAGTTCTCCCCAGCACAAGCTCAGCTCTGAGAACAGGCAGATTTTCATACAGGGAAGACTCAAACTATTGGTTTAGCCACAGGAGACTGTGAACACCACAAAGCTGCTTCCCCTCTGACCTCTGAGGAACACAGGCAAGTATCTTCTCTTCATATTCCCCCCGAAACAACTCTAGAAACCATCATCAGCTACAACCATTTGTTTTGTCACCTCTCCCTGACGCCTGTCCCCTACAAGGGGCTGGTCGAATACTGCTGGATGAGCCGCTTGTGACAGGGGTTGCAGACACGCTCAGGGTTAATACTAGATGGGAGGGGCAGCTCATTCACTGAACAGGCTTCACAGAAGATGCCACCACAGTTCTTGCAGATGTTCTGGAATGTAGGAAGAGGACACAGAAATGAAGGAACTGCTCAAGACACAAGCAACAGAAACTTACAGTTTCTCTTATTAACATTCTGTCAATCCAAATCCTCTGCTGGGCTAGAGAAAGACACTCCAAAACTCCACTCCTGTCCCCTCTGAAGGCCCCGTTTGCTCCTGTGCTCAGGACCAGTTAATACCTAAGTTCCTCAGGTCCAAGGAGAGTAGGTGAGGTCTTGCAGCAAAGCAGGTAAGAGTTACCAATAATGAACTATTCGAGTTTTAATTGACTGTGGCATTTGCTTTGAACTCATTGTGTGTTTTCTCAAGATAAACACAGAGGCATGGGAAAGACTAGAAGTCCTTACACAGCGTTCCCACATGTCTAACAGGAGAGGTTCATAGGGTGACGCGGAGGGGGCAATTGGGCCCCCCCTCACTGCCTGTTCTAAGCATCATGGCACCACGGTGTCAGGGAGGAGAGGGCTGACTTCTGAGCACGCCCAGGCACACCGCCTTCATAGGTGCTGCGGAGGACAGCAGGAGGAACAGCTGGGAGTTGTTGCTCTTCACTCTGGCAAAACTACCTGTGCCAGAGCGAGCTGCAAGCGCAGCCACAGCTGGGAGCCTCTGCACCGAAGAACAGCAACTCACCACCCATTACTCAGCCAGACATGGCCTCTCCACATGAGCCTGAAAGCCTCCTGGTCAGGTAACCTCGCTGTACTCCCCAGTTCCCCCTCAGAACTTCCCAAGACCGATTTGGAACCGAGTACTGGTTCACCTTCACCCAGGTGCGGAGGTCAGAGCCCTGCAGGCCTTGTGCCGGGGAGCCAGCTGCCTCCCCCCTGCTCCTGTCTGGCCACAGCTCCACAACAGCCTTTCAGTTCAGGCCTTGGCAGATCAACTGGGGGAAAACAACATCACCTTCCAGCTCATACCTCTAAGTACTTGCACCAGTGTGACCAGGACACCTGCTGCACTCACAGCAGTTTTATCATTGACTTTACTCTTTTCTTTCCAAACTGCTCCTCAGCAGCAGTGGAGGAAAGTATCTGGATGAAGGCAGCACTCCCACTGAACACCCTTTCTCTTCCAATCCCTCTAGATTCAGAATGTAAAGCAGTGAGGAAAGTGAGAAGGGCTTGACCACAAAGAACAACAAAAGTAAGGGAAAGAGGCAGGGTGGCTTAAGTGGAGAAATAACAAACAAGTGTTAACACCACCTATTCTCACTTTGGATTGATCCCAGGAAAAAAACCACTTAGCTAAAAAGGGAAGAAGCTGCTAAGGGGAGGGAAAAACAAACTACTGAACACTGAGCAGAGTGGGGAACCCTCAAGCAACCACTGTTTAACAAGTTTACTTTAAGGGTGAAGTGGACTTCAGAAAAGCCCTCATTTCTTTGTCTCAAGTCACCAGGGGGAAATCTGTGCTATTTGAAAATGAGAATCAGAGGAAACACACATTCACCACATGATGGAGGTGACAATACAAGTCCTTGGACTTACCTTTTTTTTGCTTCGGCTGCTTTCTTCCTGGCAGAGCTGGCAGATCTCAGAGTTTCCAGGTCCTGACAGCTGTTCCTAAACCCCAAGTAAAAACCAGAACATTCTGCTTTACGCACTTCTTTACATGGCACCCATATTAGAGCTCTAGCGGCCGAGCTGCACCTTTCAAGAGGGAGGAAGATTTCACGTGCATGTGTTTTTAACCCTTCTCTATTCACAGCATACGTGCAGCCACAGAGGACCACCATGCACGTGCAGAATGATCCACAGTTGCCCTCCCTACATCACGGGGCAGACGGGGAAGCACAGCATGGCCGTGTGAACCAGGGACCACGCAGCTTGATTTTCAGGCTGAGATCAAGGCTGCTGGCCCAGCAATGAGGTGGAAACTAAACCTCTTTCTCACTGTGAGAAAGAGCTGACAGATACAGAAATTCTCAGTAGACAGGACACAATGCAAGTGTTGCAGCATCCCATTGACAGTTCGGGGTCTACCTGTGCTTTGCCAAGCACCCAGGGGGAGAAAGAAAGGATTCTGGTCAATTTGATATACATTAAAAAAAAAACAAACAAAACAAAAAACAGAACAAAAACCCACCCCAACAAACCAACTGACCAAAACACCCCTTCCCTCTAGCCTACTGAGCAACCAGCAAAACCCTGGCTCAGACCAAGGATGTTAAACACCACTGTTTTCACAAACACTGAACTATATTATGCTTTCATTGTTCTTTTCAGACACACCAACGCAAGAAAGGCAGGGGGCAAAGGAATAATTAAAGGGGTTAGTATTAGTTTAAAACCCAACATGGTTGTCTTGAGGCTGCAAAACGAACTCACATAGGTGCAACACTGGCAACTAAAAGCCTTTCTAAGGAGATAAGCAGCGTTTCATACACTAGGCAATGATTGCTGCTATGGACTCTACAGACAAATCCTCACCAAGGCAACACCATGGACAAAATTCAGGGTTATCTGGGCAGGGAAGATGCTGCAGTGACCCAGGAGCTCCCTCAATACCCTTGCCCTTCGGTATTTCAATGCAAGAAAAAGAATCACCAACCTGCTCCTCCTGTGTGCTGCTTGGTAACCTGCAAGAGAACACCACCATTACTTGGAGCCAGGGCTTCAGTCACTGCATCTTTTCAGAAGAACATTTGGACAATCAGAGAATTCCCTCATCCTGTTTTTAAAATCCTACCCATACAGATTTTTGGTTTTGTTTCTTCAAAACCACACTGCCAAGACTCCTTGCATGAGAGATGACCCCTTCATAAGTTTTGTCAAACAGCGAAGCAAAAAGGCAGTATGTGACTGGGGCTCTTTAGGCATACAGCACTCCTGGCTAAATGGGAACAGCAGGAGAAATACTTGTAAAATGCCTTCAGAAGTGCAGAGGAAAGCGAGCATGAATATAGAAAAGACTGTTTAGATGCTACAAGCACAGTTTAAAACTAGCTCTGAACTTACTACCGCAAAATATTTGGTCCCCTACAACTTCTGTGAAGAGGCAGCGATAATGCATTTTGAGGTCTTGCAGATAAATTGGCAGCCTGACACTCACAGTGCTTAAATGCTCAAGGTGAAATGGCAATAAAAAGCATCAGAGGCCTGGAAGGTTTTTAATATCTGGGAAAGCAGATTTGAATTGAGCTTATGCTATTTTTAAGACAATACTTTTCTCATTAACTTTATACTGGCATTCAGAGCACTGAGTTTTTTCACTGACATTCAGAGTACTTCAAATAGGCTGTTACCATCTCTGAGCAAAGTCCTCATTACAGAGCTGTTCCCTGTGGCTTTTAAAACACCTTTTCACATTTAAAATCAAATCTGAAACTTCAAATATTAATCAAGTCCTACAACAAGAATCCTCCTCTGTAACATTCAGCTTAGAAACGTGTTACCTGAACTACATTTTTATACAAACATTTTCTTGAAATGTTATTTCAAGTTCTCTTTCTGCAACATCTACTACTCTTGTCCAGAAGCCACTGTTGATTAGTTTCAAATGCCCTTGATCCACCAACCCTTCTCCCTTCCCTCACCAATCAAGGTACCTTCTTTGGACACAAGTACCAAAGGTCCAGGTCTCTGCAGCATTTGGCTTACAAAGCTTCATTGATTAAGAAAAATTAATAAACACCAGATTTATATATAAACAAATTCAAAGGCAAATGGTAGAGAGAGAAAGAGCTTTTCAGATCCAGAAACACTGATGGTGAGCAGTAGAACCTCCTTCCCTTTGAGAGCTAGAAAAAAAGCAGCAAAGAGACCTCAACAAAGGGCATGAGGTTGAAAATCTATTAGAGGGGGAAGCTGCACTACTCCAAGCTTCCCATCAGCAAAGAAATTAGAGAAGGGGAAGCAGGACTTAGAGAAGGTAAAAATGAGATTTCTTTTCTTCCATACTTGTGTGGCAGGACACTGTTCTCTCTTGGTGGCTGTTTCAGTTTAGCGTTTTCTTCCTGGATTTTGAGCTTCCCATCCTGTCAAAAGGAGATATATACCCATCAGTTGAACTATATGACAACTCCAGTCTCACCCCTGCCATACTGCCAAGGGAGACCTTACATTTCTATTTCGGGAATACTGATCTGCCCCTCCTTGGCACAGAGGTGTATTTGAACATGTGAAAGCCTACAAACACCAATCCACCCTAGGAGCAGATCTATATGCTTTCCTTTTGCTGTCAACAAAAAACTGACTTCACATTTTAGAGACAGACTCTTAAACATGTCCCATGACCTCCTTTTACTAGAAGGTACAAGAAACTTCAGAGACATAATTTTTTATTTTAACAGCAGAGGTTAAATCAGCAGACAGCCTGAACAGGCTTTTTCAAGACTGATCAGCAAAACAAACCCTCTCAGGCAGCAAAGGAAAAAAATCCTTCCCTCCTGCCCAGCTAAGACCTGGGTCATAGCCCTGGCCAGATATGTATGTATGTATGTATGTATGTATGTATGTAACACCACACCAAAACACGATTGGCAAAAAACAGCCTCCTGTCTGCACAGCCAGTGCTGGCAGAACCACCCACACACGCATTGCTCTTGAGTTGTGACCTTCAATTTCTGCAAATGCAAATTTCACTGGATCAAGCACCACATACAAGTTTTGAGGCAAAAGACAAGTTCACTCTGAAACTGCTTTTTTGCGCACTGGCCCATTTCTTCCTAGTGGGAGCACCCACTCGTGCCACAGTGCTCACCTATAGAGTAAAGGAGGATAACCCCACACAGTAACCTGGTCTCAAACCCAGTGACAGGCACACAGTCAAGCAGCAGAAAAAAAGCAGCTATTCTGCCTTCTACAGAGGTAAACAACTTTTGCTTTAAAGATCAGACTACCCAGTTTTGGGTATGGGGGGTTTTTTGTTTTCATTTTTCCTGGCCAACTGCATCACACTTAGTTTCTGATTCCTTCTCCTGAATGATGGCTGTTCTGCTACAGCAAACATGACTTTTCGATAAATGACCCATGATGTGTAAATAACTTCACTGAAATGATATGTATAATGTTGGTTAAAAACCAAAAAACCTGATTTGTTCAAGCAGCCCAGGGGAGCCCATTGAAGGCAACTCTTAAGTGCAGCAGCACATATGAGAATGCTAAAACAACCTCTATTCACAGTTCTCATAGTTACAAGTTTTGTTCTCCAAAACAACTGTTTTACTGCCAATTCCCGGCAAAAGAGTCTGTTTCGGTTTACAGAAAAAGCTGCAGAGCAGATTTTCACTTTCAAAGGCAAATTTACTGCTAAAAAGGGAGTCTCACTTGGGGACTGAGTTTTACTCTCAAGACGAAGACTGCGTTTTGCTTTAAAAAAAACACTGACTTACTAATGCACAGCACAAAAGAACACAAAGTGATTTGTGATGCCCTGAAGAGATAATTTTGTCTTCCAAGTGCTACTATTCACCTCGTTCAGGAGAATTTCCATTATTATGATGCAAAAAATAAAGACAAACAAGTTTGCTCTTCATAAGATGGAATGTGTACAGCACCTCTCCTGATGTATTACAGTTGCTTTTATTAAACTAGTGAAGGAAAACCACAATCACTGTCAAGATTTTGTCAGGTACCCAGCTTGGCACAGGAAACCAGTGTTCTGCAATGAAGCATAATGCCTGCAATATTTTTGTGATGCTCAATTCAATAAACTACCTACTTACTGTGTGCAAAAAATGTTCTAAAGCTCATTTTGTTGTGGCACACTAACAATACACGTTTATTGCCTAATAAAGCTCAGGAAAAAAAAAAGAGCAAAATGAGACTATGATTCAAACACAAGCCAAGAATAAAAGTCGTATTACCTGTCTTAGCCAATTCTTTGCACCTTTTTTGTTCTCTTGGCTGCGTTGGTGACTGTGTGACCATCTGTCTCTTTCTCGCTTCAGTTCCAGTTCAAGGTGGGTCCTAGAGTATCAAGGTGGAATTGTGAATAAAAGATTTGGTTTTGTAACACTTGACATTGAGAGCTGAGCTGTTTAACCCTCTCTTTACACTAAAGCAACTGAACCCCAGCTCAGGAGCTGAAAACTGCCTCTTTGAATAAAAAATTGTCTTGCAGTGTGTTAAGCCGTAATACATCAGGATGGGAAAATCTAAAAGTTCTTAATCTAATTCTAGCATGATTTGGCAAGGAAGTAAACCTGTTGACTACGTCTGCAAGTCCTCAAAAAATACTTATTTATTCATCTATTGCAGAACTGTTGATCAGTGCCCTATTCAAAAAGACATTCTTCAGCATGTCAACTGCTATAAGACAGGCTCTGAAACCAAAGCCAACATCCACGACCATTTCCCAAAGCTGTCCGTACAGGATGGAGGGGCTGTTCCTCCCTGAGAACTGTGGGAATTCTTCTGACAGCTCACCTCAAAGTGGGGCTTGGTCCCTGTGGAGCAACCAAGGACTGGGGCTGAGGGCTTCCTTGCTGGGAGCACTCTGCAGCCTGCTCTGCTCTTGACTGAGCAACAGCACATGAGCAGGTCAGTGCAGGAGCTTGAATAGGAGAGGTGAGTCCAGTGGGCTGAAATCAGGACACATACACTTTTCTACAGATCTCAGGCAACTCCCTGGTCCAGCCTCACCCATCAAGAAGGGAAGACACATGCTCCTTCAAGACTGCTAAGCAGCTGGGCTGCTGATCTGCACTGGTACTGCAGCCAGTGTCGGTCCCTCCCCCTTCGGGCCAGAGGGAACAGAGACATGGCTGAGCACAGCACATTCACATTCAGGAGGAAAACTAATCAGCGGGTCAAGGACAGATGAACAAGCATATCTGAGGTCCCTGACACAGTCTGAAGCAGGATGAAGAGAAGCACGGCTCTAAACCGAGCTGTGGGTCACAGAGCCTTTACTCTGGGCCGCCAGAAAGCTCAATGCCTCCCTGCCTGCAGCCTGCCTGTACGCAACAGCCTCAAGCACATGGACCATCAGGGACTGAAGCACTAGAAACACCATTTTCTGCAATTATTACAAGGAAAATACATTAGCCGCCATAGGAAATGACCCCTGCTCCAAAATTAAAGCCTAGAAACTGAGTATCTACCAGTAAAAGTAGTGGGAACACATGTACTATAAAACATTCAGAATCCTCGTTGCTATTAAAACCAACACTATCCATTATTACCTCTGTTAGTCTCCACGCTGCTCCAACAGCTTTTTAAAATAACTCATTATGACTACAGCCTCATCAATTACGTAGCCTAACTGAAGTGAGTGAAGCTGGTGGAGACTTAGATCCAGAAATTAATACTTGTCCATGTTGACATTTAAAAACAAACCAACCAATGGAATCCTTGTTTACAACTTGATTTAAAACCAGCACCACCACAAAAAGTCCCATTTCCTCTTAAAGGCATATAATTCAAGCAAGACTGCCCACAACCCACTGCGGCACCCTCCAATACTCACTGCTTTAGAAACTCAATTAAATTAAGCGGTACAGCCTCCCAGTAAAGGAGACTCAATCATTTTCATACTGTCATCTTGATTTAGCTTGAGTGAGGAAGGAATCGGAGCAAGTCCAATTGATGCAAAAATAGACCAATTTGCAAATGTCCTCTGCCAGTAGCTACACTGACTCTGGGTAAGGTGCATACACAGAGATGATGTATTCTCCCTTTATACCCGAGAACACCGCTAAGCCCACCCATGTACACCCTGAACCTCGCATGAATTTCTGACAAAAGCCATTTGCTGGTTTTCTGGGAAGCCTCTGTAACTTTTTGAAAAAAGAAACAAAAAGCTGTGACAGGAAGGGACAAAAAGGAGGGAAAAAAAATATATATATATCACCCAGCAATGCTTCCACATAATTCATTCCAGTGACCTTGCAACAAAGATGTGTCATGGCTACAGAAGAGATGATCTTCTATTTTAAGATAAGAGGATTTCTCTGTTTTCCTGATACTGGTAAACCGATGACACTGCAGGGGAAAATATGATAGCTTTCGCAAAGTTCTCTACATTTGGCTTCCAACGTTTTGGTCGCCTCTCAGTAAAAATTAGAACAGTTTCAACTAGAAAAAAAAAATAATTCCTGGCACTGTTTGTCAGACTGACACCCACGATTGCTTCCCTTGCTCCAAACTCTTCAGTGTTAGCTCTAGGCAAAGACTTCACTACTATATCCCTGACAATAAGCAGCAAATTGCTTTTAGTGTTAGCTTTGAATTCCAAATTATGCTATTACAGTGGAAAGTCTGATGCAACACTTGACTTTGGAGAGGTCTATGTTGCCCATCAGAGACCCGACTGCACTCTGAAGCACACATCTAGCTAACTCTCATTCCCTAGAGCAGGCTAACCTGCAACTTTAACTCAGCACAGACTGGGGATCTACCCAGTGTCCCAAACAGGCTTTGCAGCTTGTAGGGATCCCCGTCCTACTGCAACTCCAGCGCTGCCTGTTTTCAAACGAGATCGTTACTGGCAGATGCCCGACAAATCTAATCACAGTGAAGAAATCCCCCATGGATGTTTCCATATTCAGAAAAATATCCTGACGTTTCACTTCCACTCGAGATATTCTGCAACTTGCTTCTTATACTCCACTGCCACATAAGATTTGTGCTTTTGCTGGTGGTTTCTGCCGACTACATAGTTCTTTTGCATTATCTTCCATTCTAGTTTTTCAAGTTGTAACTTTAAAGACATGCATGTTAAAAGATTTGCTGTCTCACAGATCACTGCACCTCCCCAGAGTTAATGGCTGCCTGGCATCTAACACGCCACTTGTCCCTCTCTCCCTCCAACCCCTACTTCCTTTTGCGATAGCCCTGCCTGCTTTCTACCAGACACAGTAAAAACAGCCCAGAAAATAGATTAGAAAAGGATCTCTTCACCGCTGCCTGGAGAGCTCTTCCACTTCTAGCTGGAGGCTGTTGATTTTGTCCCCAAACTCCTGCTTGAAGAGACGGTTGTCCTGCTGGGCCAACTGACGGTCCTTCTCTGCCTGTCGCAATCTGGATTTGAGCCACATGAACTTGTGATAAAAAACAAAAGCCATGGTGGGGAGGAAGACCGAGTTTAACCAACAAATAAAAACCCAGTGAAAAGGTAAAGCCAAAAAAAGGAATGGTAAAAACAATGGAAAGGAGGAAAAATTTTTAAAGAAAAGCAAAATGTAGGTGAACCAGGCAGAAGCTCTGATTTTCAATAGTTTTTATTCTATTACTACAGTTTACAGCCATTAGATGAAAAACATAAAACATCACTTTTATCCAGATTCAAAGCAAACCTCAAGTACACAGAATTTTAAGTCAAATTTGATTTTAATGTATGTTACATTTCAGCTTTACACATGTAACTGGAACTTGCAACATAGGTTAGCTACTCTATTGAGAATTAGTGCATTTTCCTGGTCTCTTCCATGGACTGACACACTGGCTCAAGCGCCCAGGCATTAATACACCAAAGCATTTCCACTTTGGGCCAGACATCAGAAATGGCCAGATCCTTAATTCTGTCTTATTTTAGTGTTACTGTGACAGCAAACAAAACCAGCCCAACCCCGTTTCTACAGAAGAAATCTGGGGAGGAGCAAGGGAGTTAACTGTTCTAACTAGCTATTTGGATACCCTGATGAAAGCTTCCACCTTTTTATTATTATTTTTCTCCAGGTAGTTAAAAGGAGTTTCTAGTAGAAGATTACTGAAGGTTAAGTTTATACTTTCTAGCATGTGACTTGGGCATCAGCATTAAGATTTAATAAGGGTCTCCAAGTCTGCTCGTATGTGGGAGTTAACTAACCAAGCTAAGCAGTGGTACACGCTTGCGTACAGGAGGACTAGGCTGAGCCTCATAGATTTTTAAATGTACCTAGTGAGAATCACAGGTATTCTCTCCCCAGCAGCATTTTGGTCACATTTGCCACCCACTGCCCCAGGGAGCACTATCCCACAGGACAAAGGGAGAACTGGCATCAAAGAATTTTTACAGGCATCTCACCAGAGCAAAAAAACGCTTATTCAACACAGAAAATGCCCAAATGTGACCTTCTTGAAAGAAAAAAAGGAGCACTTAGAACCTAAATCCTGTGACAGGTCAGCATGGTGAACTTCTGTCGCCACAGGGAAGAGGATATTCATTTATAATAATCCAAGCTGCAGTTACTTAAAGTTTTGTGCTGCGGTGTTAAATGGGCAATTATATTTCCTATTGAGAGCTGTTTCCAAGCTTTACCCTTTCTTCGTTAGCAAATTCCATTTGTATCCAGCAACAGAAACTCAGAAGCAAATGAAAGAAGTGTAAGAGTAAAAGGCAGCTCTTCCTTTTAAACCACTAACTACTCAGACAAGGAATGGTCAAGTACCAAATTACCATTTCCACTCCCTACCACTGCACATTTTGGTTTTGGTTTTTTTTTTGTTTTGTTTTGTTTTGTTTTTAATTTTTTGTTTCTTTTAAACACTAGAGTATAAAGATCAGTAATTTTTTTTGTAAAAGGTGTAACTTCCCTTTCTAGGAAGAGGAGAGATCTACCAAAACAACTCTCCTCAGCTTCCTTCGGTCAGGAAGGACCACCAATATATGTCTAAAGGGATTCATGGCAGAGGTAGAAGGCAATGCAAAGATAAGGAGGTTTTCACTGAACTTACCACTCTATCATGTTACTCTAAGACACCTAGCTACTAATTCTGGACACATGAAGTTTAAAGGAATAAGGATAAGTCCCCACCCTCCCACCAAGTCACTAAGGCAAAATCATTGCAAGCAGTCTCAGTTACAAGAGGGCTGGTCTTCATGGTGATGAGCTATCGAGTCGCACCCATTTTGTCTTGGACTTGGGACTGAACCCACAGAACAGAAGTGAATGGGTAACGGCTTTGGGGTACGCACACAACTACTTTCAACAACTTCCAGGGATGCGTTTTTTCGTCTACTTCACAAAAAGGGTAACACAGAAAACTAGTTGACTTTCCAGAGCTGGCCAATCTGATGTTGGCTTGACCAATGCACCTAGTATCCATAAATGCTGAAGACTTGTGCTGCTGTATACAGTATGCATCACCGGGATGTACAGAGCCACATATCTTCCATTCCTTATGCTTTTCTGGTGTGTTTATTGGCCAACTCATTGGTACTTTAACACAGTTTAAATGGCAAAGTTAGGGATTTTTATACCCGACTCTACATCTCTGAAGAAAAACTCACTGATTTTAAAAATTCAGCAAATTCCAAATCAATTTTAGGTGACAATTAACATTTTAGCAGTTGCTTTTAGCAATTCTCAAGTTCTCCCCTCATAAATGAGTTCTGATGTCAGAGCTGTGAGGTGACCAGACATAAAAATGTCTAATGATGCTTCTGGATCAGTTTGTTTGCTGCACTATTTAAGGTTTTTGCCTGTTTCACCAAATCCTTTTCACTGTATAAGTAAGTCAGAATGAGGAGGATGAGAAAATGAAAAAATAACAACAGCAAGAGAAAAAGAGCAAACCAATTAGCTGAGCAGATATCATAAAACATTTTAAAACACAAATTTCCTACAAACAAAATGACCTTTTTTATAGAGAATCATTCTCAATATAAACCCTAAAATGAGAGCTTTAATTTAGTGCAATGCTCTACTCATTAAGTAAGTCCCAGGCAATACGTGACCTTGAGAGCTATGCTTTTCCCCTGATTTTCTCTGAGCTAGTGTGACAGGGCGATTTGCAGAGACTGGAGCTGTGACCTGCTGGCCAAACCACTGCAAAGCCTGGCTTCAAGAACAGGACAAAAGGGAAATAAGAGCACTGCTCCTTCTCAAATCAATCTGACTTCAATGCCGCGGCCGTCCTAATTTCATGAAGGTTTGTAACATGAGAGCCACAGTGTCATTACGATGGAACTTGTCCCAGTCCAAATGGGTATTATACCTATGGGCTATGTTTACCAACTTCAAGCGACAGCCAGGCTCCCCTCTCATCCTCCTCCATTTACTTTCACATAAGAATATTTTTCAGGCTCACCTCCCTCAAAGTACCAGAGAGATCTGGAGTAACCAAGCACCTCTATGCCTAGCCTCTGCTGCACTGTAATACTGTCATAAACAGTCAAGCACTTCTCTAGGTTCATATTTACATCTTTTTTATCAGTGCTATCAGAGTAATTGCCTTGTAATGACTGGATAGCATACAGAAGTGCAGCTGGCATAGATAAATGAAGCTGTTATGGTAATTAATGGCTTAGTAGTATATTCTTTTCTAAAGGAAACCCTCCTGAGAATGCAAAACATTTCTCCTAACAGCATCTCACAGAATTACAGCACTCTCTCTGTTGAGCAGAGACTAAGCAGAGCACACAGACTCTCGCCTGGTCCATTCAGGGTCAGTGGGACACTACCCCTAGAATACACACATGATTTTGTAACTGTAGAAGTTCCATTTTTTACCTTTGTTCAAGCTGTTTGATGGTGGCAGCCATCTGATTTGTTTTTTCTTCCAAACGACTGTTTAATTCACTCTTCTGTTTCACTCCCATGTCTGAACTCTGGAAAAAAACAGCATTGTGGGGGTTTTTAGTAGTAGTAAAACCAAAATAAGCCATGATAAATCATGTGGCACATGAAACGAAAGGGGCAGAAACCAGAGGTAGGAAAAGGTGCTCAAAAAGCAAATGCCAGGTCAATACTGCAAGGACAAACATCTTACCATAAAGATGTAGGCTACCTCTGGACCCCACAAAAGGGCAATACCATTATCACTGAAGCTTTCTGTGTAATGTATATTAATGCAGTATGTGCTAATATCATTCGACTGTTTTGCACAGAAGCAACTCTTTCCCGTTCTAAAGTTTATTTTAGGATTTCTTTGTGTGCTCTTCATCTTAAGAGTCTGCTTCTGTCTTCACACAGTAATGCATGCGATTACACCACACACCTTCAAATACCAGATTGTACTGGAACAGAAGCTACCACAGCTCAGTTTTTATACCACAAAAATGTAGAAGATGCTTATTCCACTCACACACACACACATTTCTGGATCATCATGAGTCTTTCTTCAGAAGAAACTGCATTTTCCTTTAACCTCCATCACATTCAACTGTTCATGTACTACAGCTTTCTTGCAGCAAGACAGAAGTACGCTATACACCCTGTAACTCTTCCACACCTAGTACCTTTTAGATAGATAGCAGGGAAAAAAGAACAAGAGCTATCACTTTTATCTGGAATTCACTGCATTTGATTTAATTATTTCCCTACCTGCAGCTTGAAGGACAGTTCATGCTTTAGGGCTCTGAGATCATCCAGTTGCTGTCTGAGTGCCACCAGCGCATCTTGCTTCTCGCAAACATCTTTCTCCAGCATCTTCATGGCTAGCTCCATCTCCTGTCGCATTCCAATCTGCACCTCCAGCTCTTTCTCCACATCCTGGAACATACCGATCGGTCACCATTACCAGTCAGCTTTCCGTGAGGTAATCACCCTTAACTGGTGCTCCTGCCAATGCAGTCACTACCTAGAAGGGTGCTGCATTGGCCACAGCATCACAGTTACAGATCTGACCCATCAAAGACAATTAAGGACAAAAAAAAAAAAATCCACATTTTCAGTCCAATATTAAACATTAATTTAAACAGCATTACTAGCAAAGAGTCAAAAAGTACTACATAGGCCCATCTTTCTGATGGAAGGGACTAGTGAAAAGCTGGCAGACTTTAGTTCTTAAAAACCTTTGGCTCAGGCATTTTCCTCCCCACCAGCTGAACCCATGATATTGAATAGCAATTCAGATAGTGGCAATAACCTTTACTCAGCAAGGGGGAATATGCAAACCTAGAAATGCAAGTGAACTGCTCATTTTGAGAAACAGACCTCAAACTGATCAACAGAGCCAGAAAATTAATATCGCTTCAGACAAGACTGTCTTGGATCAGGCTGAAGCAGGCTGGCAAGAATGAAAAAAATGCCCTGGCCAAGCATTTTCAAAAGTGATTGTCTGACATGGAGTTACAACATCAAAAGCCATTTATAGGGAGCTCCAAGCTCACACAGTCCTTACCAGTCGCAGCTGAGTCTCCTCCTTTAACTGTTTCCGTGCCTCAGTCAGTGCATGTCCATCAGCAGTTCTGTCTTTAGTGACCTAAGTTAGTGAAGACACCCAATTAACTTGTCATTATATACTACTAGCCCTCACATTTTCTGATTATTTGCTTTTCCCACCACTTCAAGAAGAAATTCTGCCACTATCAAAACTCAGAGCTCCATTCAGTTAATGCAGCATGCAGCTTCCATGTGAAATGACTCCACCTCCCTGTTTCACCAAGTGCTCAGTGCACTTCGAAGGGTATGAATTAAAAGGACAGATGGTTTTCATAACTTTTACAATATACCAAGTACGGTTACAAAACCTCAGGAAAAGATCTTGCGCGTTTTAGAACTAAACCAGTTACTAGCACTTCCAATAAGTCAACAAAGAAAAGATTACAGATCCTGCCCCTTGATTCCAAAAAGGGTAGCCTTTCAGGCCAAAAAGACAGAACTCCTACGTCCAAATTTTTCTGCCGCCCCCTCAGAAAATCATCCTTCCTCCTGTCCCTTTTGACACCTCCACCCAGCAAGCCAGGAACCTGCTGTGTTAGCTCCCGGCTCTCTACATGCTCACAGTTTCATCAGCTGCAGCCAGGCAGGATTTACTGTGGCCAGGGTCCACCTGCTACCCTCTGCAGAGGAACCCACCTGGAGTCACTCTTCTCTATTCCAGCTTTTGTGCAAGATACATAAGGAAATAAAGCCTCTTTCAAACACTGACTTCTTGAATTAATTTGGGCTGGGACTGTCCAAAAAGTTCGGTAATCATTCACACACAGCCACCAACCTTACGATTGGACTCTAAGATGTAAGAACTTTCTTCTTTAACCCGTTCCATCTCTTCTTGCAGTGTAATAATCCTGTTGTTTGCAACCGCAAGCTGTGAATAAAACAGAACACGTCAAAACCATACTTGACCATTTTTTTTTCCTCTCTAGACACATTTTCTGTACTCTTTTTTTTTTTACATTCAAAGCCAGGAAAAACAATATTTGGAGTGACAAAAGACAACTTGGCCTCTACCATGAAGAAAAAACATCTGAAATAGCATCAGTTAGTGCCAGCATGATGGATTTCCAGTATCAGCTGAAAAAGACTTGCCAACCTATTTTGGTTCCTGTCTTTCAGTAAAGTTATTGACTTATTCAGGTCTCTACCTGTTAGCGCAACTCAACAGAAATCCTCACTCTGTTTCCCCTCCCTTAGCGAAGATGATAAAACGGGAAAATGTGAGCACATGACAGCTAAGTTTTGTTGACTTCTAGCAACTGAAATATATTGCCAGAGAGGAAATACTTGTGTGGCTTTGCTAAAGCTTAAGTAGTTTGGGTACACTGCTAGGTAGAGCATCTGAGATATAAGATGCTCAAGCATTTGGGCAGGAGAAGCATGATGAGAGCCTCATCAGAGGAAGAAGGTTTGGCTGGAAACGGAGGGTCAGTAGCACATACCGGCCTTACAAGACATTAAGTGAAGACAGCACCACAGACTAACAGACCTTTCAGTGTGTGGTCAAAGGCCAAAATAACCTCAGAAAAGTTTTTCTGGCTTTGTAAATCATAACTGATATAAGCCTTGCACACAAGAAAATCTCAGTGACATTCCAATAGATCAGCAGTGTTATTAAGTGACATCCCCCAGTAGAAATTACCCTGATAAAAGTGTGAGTCTTTGGTACAGCTCAAGCCAAATACACAAATTGATGTGACATGTGATGCAGTTCATGAACTACACCCTGCAAATAGTGCTGGTTGGCACAGTGTGTTCCAGTGCCATGCAAATTCTTACTCTGAACAGCACGCAGACTTCACTAAGATACAAGCAAGCACATTATTAGAAATCAAAAAATATTTCAGTCAACACTGCAACTCATCTCATGGGTACCATGTCTAATGGGCACATCACTCGCACTCTGCAGCTAACAAATCAAAAGCCACTTATTATAGTAGCATTGAGAAATGCAGCCTCTACTGCAGACCACCTTTTTAAAATTAAAAAAAAAAATTTTAAACGTAAAAATATTACTTATGCCTTAATTGCAAGAGTGGATACACTAATTTCCACTACTAAAGCTTCTCATCATTTGGAATACATCCATTAGAGTAAATGTTCAATAACCAGACATACAGACCTCCTTTAATGAGGGTGAACAAACAAAAAAAGAATTTCTATTTCATATTTGTACTGCAAGAGTACTGAGCCATTGCAATCTAAATCATTCTGCTAAGTGGCATGCGGACAGAGATACTGTAAAACCATTAGGATGAGACTTACTATCACTCATTTGTCAGGGAACTGACCCCAAAAGATTTTATTACATTTATGCTGTGACTAATGAACAGCAAGAACAATTTTAAAACACAGGCTATACTTATGACTCACATACCAATCATTTTTTATGTTCAGACTGAACAATTTTTTATAATTTTTTTTTTTTTCCAAATTGTGACAGGCTAGAGAAAAAGTTATTGAAACATTTCGATTTCTATCTTTACACTGTATTAAACTTCTGCACCTGTCAAAATAAACAGACATTTTAAAATCTCTTTGTCATGTCTGGACATCTCATAACCTACATCAGTTGTATGGCATTTGAAAATCACACCCACCATACAATTTATTCTAAAGAATTTTCCAAAAATCAGAAAGTACTCAAAGACTTCAAAGGGATAAAGTGTGTTCAGCAGCTTTTGGTTTTTAACATAAACATTCAGCTGTTTTTCCACCTCATGCTTAGTTAGTAGCAACAGCCAGTGTAATCCCTTGGCAGGTCAGTTATTCCAATTCGATCATTAAACACTCATTATGTATATCAGAAATCTGAAGGTGACTCATCCCTTACCTTTTTAATCCTCAATTCCAAAAGGCCAAAACATCAAATCATTTTCTATTATTACACTTACCTCCTCAGTCAGTTTAGTGTTGGATTTTTCTAAGGCATCCACCTTGGCCTGTAGGTTGTTTACTGTCGCACTGTTGAAGAGAAAAAAACCCTATAGTAATTCCTTCTTTTTTTTTAAATCCTGTTTTCTGTTTTCTTCTACTATATAATAAAGAATAAATAAGACGTGTCTCACCTTAAATGTCTATTGAGTTCTTCTACATAGTTCTTCTGGTCCAAAATAGCAGTTATCTGACCATCTCTGGGAAAAAAAAATAAAAGAATTCAGCTCAAGCATTTGGATTCAAAGAACTAAGAGACACCACTAAAGGTCTAAGAGGAAACATGGCAATACAGCCCTCATATCAACACAGCACCAATACCCTAGGTCTCAGTCTATGTGATATATATCAAATAGCAAAGCTGAGTTACAGTCTATGCCTTTATAATCACAGTCACTGTCCCCTGACTTCTCAGAAGCTGCTACATTCACCTGGATGACATTCAGGCATTTTGTGATACACAAACAAGAATGATTAAGGCAGACAATATTTCAAAGAGAACAGTACAGTTTCCTTTTTTCAAAGGAAAAAAAAAATGGGTTTGCACTACATTGATACTCGGCAAGAGCCATCTCACCAAAATCTGTTCAAGGAAAACTGTCAACAAATGCACATTTTGCGTTCACTTCCATCAGGAAATTTTAACTAAAGATGTTCTGAAAATGAAACTATAGATAAAATAAATGCAATCAAGACACCTGATCTTGAAGGATAATCATTAAATATATACCTGAACTTAACCTAGCAGGACTTCCTTAGAAGGGAGAAGTACTTTTGAAGAACCTCAGAAAACTGCAACACCTGATCCGTATGCCAGTATGTCCACAATGTATTTTTCAACGACTTGCTCTGAATGTTGCACAGCTTCATTTGTGTATGCTGGCACAAGTTCTTTAGGCTATTATTGCAGTTATGATCTTTTCCAATTGGAGAATTATTATTTTTTTTAAAGGATGTTATGGTGTCAAAAATCAACTATTACCCTGCTAGCCATACAACTAGTGAAAGCTACTAAGCTTTTAAAGAATGGCAGATCTAATTCAGCAGAGGATCACTTTAAAAATATTTTTATCTTCAATTACCGGTTAAGGAAGAACACACAGGATTTCTGGGAGACTTGCCATTTCCCCTGCTCCCTCCCAGTATTTCCAGTATCATATTTATATATTATGTTTTAGACTGAATTGCTCTTCTGTTATAAGTATTTTTTTAATTAAAAACAACAGCTTGCAGGGCAACCCAGAATACTTGAATACAAGTTACCAAGAGATAAGATGCAGGAGAACTGTGTGTGTACCTACCCTTCACTGCCTTTTGTGCTGTTCCCATCTTTCAAATACATTGAGAAATCAATAACTCCAACCTAGGAAAGAAAAATTTGCATCTTACATTAAACACTTCTAAGAGCAAACACTGTAGTTGTGAAAGTTTAGAACATCAGTACCTGTTGTATTACGGCAAGGATTTGTTATACCAGTAATCTGTACGAAGTTTATGAAAACAGGGCATATTTCAAGCAAAAATATACTAGGATAATCACTGAATTGGCAAGCAAGTCTTAGGACATAAGGACGAAACATTACCATCACCATATCTGCATATAGACTGCTTATGCAAGCTGGAACATAAGCGCATGAAGGCTCATTTTATTTTGTTTAACAGTTACACTGATCTCATCACACAGCGTGAGTGAATTAACAGTTCTGTCCATTTCTCCCCTCATTTTGGCTAAGTCCTTCCCGGTTTTTCCTTCCTTCTTCATTTACTCCATTTCACAGTGACCTGCATGCAGATCACAGCAAAGCCTAACAGCAAAGAGAAAACCAAAATCCCGAGTTTCTGACCTCAGTGCCACCAGCTAACTGAAGACCACAACCATAGTAACAAACTTGCATTAGTCTTCTATTACATATAGTAACAAACCCGTATCTTGGTTGTTGGAAGTCCTCTACAATTGAAAACTCCTCCAATTTAAATGAGCAGAAAAAAAAAATTAACTGAATGCCCAGTACCTGTGAGTCCAGGTCTTCTCCTTTCATGCAGAAGTTTGCATCAATGACATTCAACCCTACTAGGAGGCCAGCAATGATTGCACCTTCTTCTTCCATCATCAGTGCATTAGGCTCATAAAATTCACTGTAGGATGCATGGCAAGAGAAGACAAGTGTTTCATCTTTAAAAGTCAACTCAGATGCTGTCAACTAGTATGGGATCCCCGCTATTTCATACAACAATATAATGCAAGCTCTGTCTTAACAAAAACCCAGCAAGTGCCACATAGTCTGCACAGAAATGTACTCCTACATACTATCAGCATACTCCTACTCTGACTAAACAAACCCCTCTTAGCACAGTAAGTCTTTAGGTGAGGCAAAGACCCCATAAGTAGGAGACCTGGTCCCTCACTGTTGAAAGGTGGTGGAAAGTAAGCACAATTCTTGAATAACGGTACAGCACACTGAAGATTTAAGACTAGGGCTTAATATCAGAGTTTAAGTAACACACTTCTACTACTCTATTACACACTGCTATTAACACAAGCCACCACCACATTCTCCAGTGTACAATATCAAATTCTCCTTTCTAATCACAAGTCAGCTACAGATTTATATGGAGTCAACAAACATCTACTTGTTTGACTAAAGAAACACAAACGTATTTATTAAATCCTACTGCTTTACACAAGCACAGTAGTTCAAATCCATGGACTTTCAATTAAACTACAAAACGATTGCTGTTTTATGAGTGGGATGAAGAGATACAGAGGAGTGAAATAACTTGTTCCAAGTCAGATAGTAATGAAGTGACAAAGTCAAAAATAAATCAAGGGCCAAGATTTTACAGACAGAGAATGCTGTATCCCCTCTGTACATATATTTCACCCAAATCATCTCTTTGAAACCAAAATTTGTGATATTCTAATGGATAATCGGGACAAAGTGGAGAAATAACAGCTTCTGAATTAAAAAGAATACTAAACATTTTTAATCCCTTAAAGGAAGCTTTGCATTTCACAAGTGTTACCATTTCTCAAAAAAAGTACAGGCATACTTAACCATTTGGGTGTCAAAGATCTTACAACAGGGCAGAAGTGAACCTAACCTAATCTAAAAGCAAGCTCAGTGCTCACCTGAGAAGATCTTTTCTGTTAATCAAGGCTTTCATGTATTCTGACAGTTTCTTCTGCATTAGAGCCAGGCGAAGCCAAGCTCTTCCTCTACCCACAGGTGTCCTACAAAGGTCAGAAACAAAACAGTTACAGACACATACTGCAGTGCACATTCATGAACAGCTCTAATAATCCCATTCTACCTGAAGTTTCTGCATCTCAGAGCTGGCACTAATGAAAACAGGGAAATACAAGGTATTTAAGTGCAAATAGTTACAGCTAAGTCCATGTAAGCAGCCACTGCTTCTCTCATAACTAATTACGTATTTGTCATTGTACTATAAATACTCCCCTGGCTTTACCCCTGCTGGATGCTACTACGTAGACAGCGATCAGCTGCTCCAACACATCACCTTCTAATTCAAAATCAGTTTTGAATAAAGCAAGTCAGAATAACATGTGTATACTTCCGTTCAGCACAGATGCCCAAGTGCCACTCCTTCAGGTAGGTTTTAAGTTGGGTTGAGAAACAAGGACAGTGAAAACACAGACTCAGTACTGTTCTCTTCAACTATTTTGCTCATTAACACACTTACAGGATGCAACAGGTTATAGTCACAGTCCTTCCCCCTCTGTTTCTCCTGGCAATCTGAAGGACACAGCTTTAAAACTACGATAACTGATATGCTGCATCACAACTCTGGCTGATCTACCCTGGCATGCTGGCCAGAAGCCAGTACCAGATGCTCCAAAGGAAGGTGTAAAACCCCCGCACTGAGCAGTATTTTCATTACAAGGACATTCCTCTTCCATCTCCAGAAGTCAGTTAGCTGTCTTATACCAAACAGCACATGGGGCACTTTATTTTCTAACCTTAACTGGTATAAGGAGCAACAGCCCATGGAAGTCATCTTCCTTACTCCCCATTCTTGACCTAATACATAACATGAGATTTCCCAAGGGTTAATATGAATGCAGGGTTTAGAAACTTATTCTAAAACTGTTCTTTATTTCAATTTATTTGATGTTTCAAATATTATTTTACAACAGGAAAGGGTAACAGGAGCTCCGGCACAACACTGTTGGCACTCCACACGGGTCCTGTAAGCTGTTCCAGGAGTCCTGCACAGATCTCCAGGAAAGGTGCTTGTCCATATGCACATTGCTAAATACTAACCTGAAAGAAACTGTTATCGAACCTACTCATCTCTTCCTTCAGCAAAGATCTAATCCTTAGTCCCGCTGCTCATATAAAAGCTTCCTTACATCTTTTTTCTACTCCCCAGGGTGAAAGCTTTTTACAGTTTCTTTTTAGCATGGAATAAGCACACATGAATGCAATGTCTGAAATGACTATGAAATTTCTAAAAGCAATATAGGCTTGAAGGGTTTTTTTTTTCTCCTCTCCTTAATGTAAGCTAGTATCTTCTCCAAGTTGGTGACTAAGCTTCCCTCTTACACAAACTTGACAAGTTTACCTGAATTTATTTAGAAGAAAAATTACCTCTATCAGCCTTAAAACTATTTAACCTGCCATGACCTTCCTTCCAATTCCCTTCCTCTTCAGTATGACTTCAGAAATAGAGTCAGTAAAGGGCATTCCCATTCCTGAGACACATCGTCACACTTGCTAGTAATAAATGCACTATTGTCCATAAGACCCATGCTGACACTGACAGAATATATCCTATCCTCTCCTTCTGCAGATCCTTGATTAAGAATAAGAGAGCAATGAGCCACTTTTATCAGCAGAAGGTGGCAGATGGATTCCTGAAGGTTATGTTTCCTTTTCCTTCTCTTCTGGATCTTTCTTACAATAAGAACGTATTATGTACTTGTGCAGTAAAAGACTGTACTTACTTCAGTCCTGGGAGATCCTTAACACTTGCTGTAATCTCTGCAGCCTCAGGAACAAGTTTTTCTACTAGTTCTAGAGGTCCCCAAAATGACTTATTTTGCCCGAGAAAAGTCTTTTTGGCTAGAAAAGAAAAAGATATAAAATGAGTTTATTAGGCCTGTGCTGGCTAAACACATTCTCAAACATGGTTAGAAGTGAATGAATAGTAGACAAAAACTGCCAGAAAGATTCTCCTGGGACTGCTGTCAGATGAGTACAAAAGATGACTTTTTATGCCTGAATGTGGCAAACATTTTCAAACAAGGCAACAGAAGCTCGAGATAGATGCCAGAAAATATTCCATACATCTTCAGTATTCCAAGACAACAACATCCATTGATAACCATCAACTTAGATTCACTACTAGAGGCCAAAATTTCTACTAGGATGCTGTCACTGTCCCAAAGTTGCACTTGATGTGTGCACAGTAATTTTCTTTCACTGACCATCGCATTACAAGGAAAAGGACCACACCACTTTGAACCCACTCCTTCTCCATAGCTGCTAGGGGCTTCTCTATGCATCTTCTCTTTCAGAAAAGCTTTTTAGTGACCCCTACACACTGAAGCTGAAAATTAATTTTCTTCTTCCATAGTTCTTACTGCTACTTCACAGCAGCAGTGAGACGACTGAGAACTCTAACTTCAAACTTATGAACAGCAGTAGGGACACCAGCAAATGGATAAAGGAAGAAGCTGAAGAATATGAACACTTCTCCCTAGCACAACATTACTGTACCCAGCACAGGAACCACTTCTGCCACACATAATGCTGAATACAACTACTGAAGAAGGATGTATGTATGGGTGCTGAGAGGGCATTTAATATCCTTCGCTTTTCATCTCAAGCTACTATCACACAAGGGCAGCACATCAAGAAAAGTAGTCTGGTACTTGGCAGTTTTAGCTGTGACTCTATTATACAGTTAAATACATTCTCCTGCTTGCTACTTTAGAAAGCAGCTTACAAGACATTAGCTGCACAAAGGCAAAGTTCTCGGTTTTGACAGAACTATTGAGAAAGGACCTCCGTGTGGCAGTTCCTCTTCCAGCTAGAGGACTGTTGCATCCCTAACACATGAGGAAGCACAGAAAAAAAAAAGGGAATCTTGAGTTGCTGAGGAGCTAATTTTACCACTGATCACTTAATTATACTTGAGTCATCTGAAAAGCTGTTTTAAAAATGGCAAGCACCTGCAATGACTGTGAACTTTTCACCTGCAGTGTTATAACTTCAGCAGATTTTTTCCCCTCCCATGGCCTGTCAAGTCAACAGTGACCCCACTCAGTCTCTCCTTAGCATACTGTAGATTACAAAACTAGATTTTTTAAAACAAGATCACTCTTTCTCACACCTACACTACAAAAAACAGCCCAAGCAGACTCCTCTCAAGCAAGGTTACCTTTCAAGCCATGTTTAAGGCAATGTTCCATCACAACAAAGAACTGCTGAAGAGGTGCATAGTCGGAGTCCAGCGTCCTGCCCAGATTAAGTGCCGATTCAATCAACCCCTTGATACTCAGTTTTGCCATGTTCATTAGGTTCATGCGTTCATTAGCCATGAGATAATTAGGATCTGTAAAAAAGGAAGAAAAGTGCTCTTGAGTAACAAAAGCTATTTTTAATACAGTAAGATATATCTTATCTCCCTCTCTTTTTGTTCCTCAGCTTTGAAGACAATTTTAGGGGCACTGACAGTTTCATACAAGGCACCATCTTTAGTCATTTTGTTGAGAAAAAAATCAAAATTAACTAGCATTTTAATGGTCAAAGCCACAATGACATGGGAATAGATTATATATCACATTAAGGATGCCTCAATACTTCAACTAAGTACAAAAGCTTTACATTTTCGAGAAAGAGAGGTTTGAAGACAGCTGTTAATGTTGTGCTTTACATCTTGACAACTGACTGTTACAACCATCACTTGTTTCAACTCAAATCCCCAGCTACATCCAGCAACTACAAACTGGTAAGAATTCCTCACTTGTGATTTGTTCTTTCATCTAAAGGTAACCGTGACTCTGACTCTGCTTACACTTAATCCAGTAATGCATGTGTTTATCCAGTCTTGCATTTTTCCTTCTCGTGATTTTTTTTTTCCAACTTGGAGGTAACATGTAACCAATTCCCACCTATCTGTCTTCATTTTATCAACACTACTGTTTTTTTAGCACTGACAAGAAGCTGATCTTCATGGCTCCTCTGACAGCTTGCTCTAAGTCCCAATATGCAAAGATCTTCCAAGACTATATTCTTCTACCATATTACAAATATTTAGACCTTTAAACTTGTTTGTTGCAGGAAAGAAATAGACATCTGTTTTCCAATCTAGACCCTGCCTGCAAAGCACAGCCAGTTTCATCCCTCTAAAGCACATTTATTCTAGGGCTGCTGTAAATAGCCATGGACCCTTGAACCAATTCACCACCTTCGCAAGTGAATTTACTATCCTTGCAGCAGAAACATGACCATAGAACATTTAAGGCTACATATCTAAGCACAGGGTACACATTTTATCTGCTATCCTGACAAAGCATGCTTGCAGTCAGCAAACAAGTAAAGCAAATAAATACGAGACTGATAACCTTCAATTAGAACAAAAGGAGATATAGTTCTACTTAAAATGCAGGGAAGCATACAGCTAAGTTTGATGACAGAAGACATGAAATATGTAGAATCTAAGCAGTGAAAGAACAGCTGTTCCTGCCAGCTCTGTGAAGTACCACCACTCAGACCCACCCAGCAATGCTCACCACCATTGGGTTGTTAAATTCTTTTCACCTGTTGGAACGCTCCATCTCTTCAACATACAGACACCTGAGATAGATTCTTATGTCCCTCCTAAAAACATCTCTCATGGTGAAGGAGGGAAAGTTGTAACCCTCATCCTCAGTGGATCCAGTCCCTAAGCGAAGTCTTGCAGAAGCCTGGGTTAGTATTCAGCAGGTTTGCCACTGAGTAAACATCAAATCTCTACTAGGCAGGCAGACTTGAGCTGTCTAGATTATTAACAGTTCTCATCCTCTTGCCAATACAGCTGTGAAGAACAATTTCTTGAAGTTTGAAATGCAACAGCTTAGCCAGAAGAGGCCAAGGGGTATATTCTTCTGAGACTACTGCAGTCTAATATAGGACTTGTCCTGATGATGCAAGTCATCACCCTGATCCATCATGATACTGATACTGACAAGTCCAGGTGCTCAGATACAAACTCCTTTTCATCTCAAATGTACTGCCATTGCAATAAGGCATCTTGTTAGCACCCACCACCCAAAAGAGAGCAAGGAAAAAACTTCAGAGGACCACAGAATCATGAAAAATCACATCGTTCACACCCCCGATCTTCAGTATCTCCCGCAGGCTGAAAAGCACTGTGGGACCAGCAGCCTGTAGCCAATAGGAGCAACATTAGATTTTGGGAACCTACGGCTGAATCCAAAATAGGCAAGAAGAAGAGCAATTGTTACTGTGTGATTGAGACTCCAGACAGAAGGAGACACTGAAAGGCACCTCAGGGTTGGGCGACGAATAGCAAATACCGATGTGGAGACACAAACATCCTCAATCAAAGAACCTGAGAAATTATGAAAGGAAGTCAAAAGAGAGCATTTGAGAAACCTGGGAACAAAGGCGGATTTGCTCAATCTGTCTCTCAAGCACATCACAGTCAGGTTCTCACGACTCCAAGGCTAGCAGGCACACAGGCTGGTAAGGTCTTGCTACTGCTGCTTAGTTTTGGGTGGCCTGTCTGCCAGAGGTCACGCAGCTTTTATCAGGGATGCTGCTGATGACCCAAGAAATATTCAGACCGAGCACTGTGGCAACAGTGCTAACAACACTCTAGTACACATCATTAAAGCTGAGAGATGTGAAAAACTCTACAGGATAGGACAAGTGATGCACGAGGGCAGCTGTCACCATTCAAACCTGATACCACAGCTGGATCTGTTTCATCCCTTTTCTTCTCCAGGATGAAGCAGTACCAGAAGTCTCCTCCTCTAAATTTCACTGGACCCATCCTGGCAGCACCGAGCAGTTCAAGGAGGGAAGATGTCTGATGGAGAGGGGGAGGGTACAGACAGCACTAAGCAATGCCAGCTGGAGTTGCCATCAGTTGACAGCCACGAGCCTAGCTGCACTCCAGGCCACATCTGCTGTCATGGACAAACGCCTTCTTGTTCAGAGAAGTGGCAAACAAGTCCAGTTGTTCCTGCATCTCCACCCAATCTTCTACTGCTGAAGGACAAAATGATCAAAAATCCCCAGAGAGTTTTGTTTTACTATCTGTAAACTCTTCAAGCACTGATTCTCTTGGGTCACATCTTATAAAAAGGCTGAGATTAGGCATTCACCATTTATTTTCATAGTTTGGAGAACTTCAAAGTACTCATTTAGGAATGCAATTCTCATAGCAGTGCTGCACTGTAGAAAAATTTAATTTAATGGGTGATTTTTATTGACTTTGAAGAACTACTATTTTAAGCTGATAGATTTGGCATGTACATTGAGCAGATTACCTATTCTGTGATTTGCAATCCATATTTTGATTTGCAGCATAGCTAACAGTCACCATTACTAGGAATGCAGAGTCAGGAAAAAAAAGAGTCAGACGCAGTATTACACACGATTGCAAAAACTAATTTTTGTACATGCAATTAAAAGAAGTTCCATATATTTTCTTCTGTGTACTTCTGCATAAAACTAATGAACACTACCCATAACAGCATCCATCACAGTTGCCCTTTAAGAGTATATGACCATAACTACAGTGTTTGCTTCTACTGCAGACAACATTGTCACAAAATTCTGCTTTGGTACCATGATTCAAAATACGCTTAGAACAAGGTTATCCAGTAAAAAACCATCAACCCACTCCCTCAATACTCTGATAGCACCACTCCATCCACTGTACATCCACACTTCTGACCAATACAGATAATGCAGCAGAAATCACTAGTAGGTTAGAATTATCTCAGGCAATTTTTATCTGTATCCTCAAAAGAGTATTGTGCTGTGGTAAAAGAAACAAATACTTTTTTTTTTAAAAAAAAAATTTAAATACTTTGTGAAGTCTGGATTGAACATGATTATTTGCTTGGCCAGGCTCTGAAGAAAAACTCTGATGTATACACACACTGCATACTGGTCTCAGTGGTGAGATCAGACCCTTTAGTAAAGCTTAGTGTTTGCCTCCTGAACATATCTAAAAGTTTTAAGACTTGACCAAAACCTTGTTAATAATCACAGCTTCTTTTTCTTCCTCCCTATGGAGGGGAACAGAAAGATACATGCAAATACAGAGACCTCCCTTTCTCCCTCATCAAGGTTTTCCTCAGTGGCCAAGGCTCGGCAGCAGCTTGCCCAAGCAGCAAAGCACTGCCACAGTACAGAGCAGTCCTGCACTCATGGCCCAGGCAGCTCATTGAGCCCATCAGTAGCCAGGCAGGTGTCCAAGGGAACTCTGCTTAGGTGGCAAATCAATTGCTACTGCAAAATTAAAGAAACTATACAAGACAACTGCATCGAAAATGTTACTGGCTATGTTTATTAGCTAATCTGAATTATGGTAGAGTACAAGGACACAATACAAGGACTTAGGGTCCTTGTCCATTACATACTCACATGAAGCCATACACACTTCTGAAGATTACTGAGAGCTGCTGCCTCACACTAACCTATACTGAAGTCAAAGGTATACTTTTCCAGGCAAGGTGCATGGTTTTCCATGAGTCTGAGAAGGCTGTGACTGCTGTGTGTCAACTGGGGTCAATATGACCCTAATTAAAAAAACAAAACAAAACAAAAACAAACCACAAGCAAACAAGCACAACAGAGGAGTATCTGAAACATGTTCGAGACAACTAGACTCAACACTTAAGACCTAACACCTGAGCTGGTGAAATTACTTAGGGAAAAAAGAAAAAGCAGGGCTGTGCTTTCATTTACAAGTGGAATATGTGGTCACAGTCTAAAAAACTGAAAAAAGTTTTCATCACATTAACTAAAGGTTTCTGCTTCATTAGCCTGTTGTGAGCCATGGTGCTTAGTAAATGCAGCCTAGCCAAGATTCTCATCTTGCAAAATTATTAACTGTTATATAGGATAAAAGTGGATAAAATCCCAAAGAATATTCCAAAAATTATATCCTAAGTAATTTATACCATTGTTATATGTGCTGCAACACACACACCTTTAAAATTGAGTCTAAAAAAGCAGGGTAAGCAAGCAAAGATGACTTTTGTACAGTAAGACTATCTTATCTGGCTGCCTTTTAGTCAACCCAGACACGTTCTGCTTTGACAAGTGTGACCCTGATGTGCAATTGAGATTCTGAGTTTGAGTCAGTATATTCTTCCAGCTTTTTCTTCCTGCCTCTAACTGCAAAAATTCAACTTGTGTTTTCCTACACATGCCATGTTATAAACCTTAACAAATAAAATTTTGGCCCTTAAACTTTGCTTTTCAATGCGGTTTGGATTTCAACTGAAGTAATCTTAAATTCTCAAGAGACGTTGCTATCTAAATATTGTAGCTTCTACAGATGTGTTTTCTAACCAGTAACCTACCAGGTGG